TGGAGAACATTACAAGTAAACAGGTAGTGCCAACTTGTATGCGTTTAAATCATTGGAGAACATTACAAGTCAACAGGTAGTGCCAGCTTGTATGTGTCTAATTCATTGGAGAACATTACAAGTAAACAGGTAATGCCAGCTTGTATGTAGTTATATCATTGGAAAACGTTACAAGTAAACAGGTAGTGACATCTTGTATATGTTTAAATCATTGGAGAACATTACAAGTAAACAGGTAGTGCCAGCTTGTATGTATTTAAATCATTGGAGAACATTACAAGTAAACAGGTAATGCCAGCTTGTATGTAGTTATATCATTGGAAAACGTTACAAGTAAACAGATAATGCCAGCTTGTATGTAGTTATATCATTGGAAAACGTTACAAGTAAACAGGTAGTGACATCTTGTATATGTTTAAATCATTGGAGAACATTACAAGTAAACAGGTAATGCCAGCTTGTATGTAGTTATATCATTGGAGAACATTACAAGTAAACAGATAATGCCAGCTTGTATGTAGTTATATCATTGGAGAACATTACAAGTAAACAGGTAATGCCAGCTTGTATGTGTTTAAATCATTGGAGAACATTACAAGTAAACAGGTAATGTCAGCTTGTGTATGTTTAAATCATTGGAGAACATTACAAGTAAACAGGTAATGTCAGCTTGTATGTGTTTAAATCATTGGAGAACATTACAAATAAACAGGTAATGTCAGCTTGTATGTGTTTAAATCATTGGAGAACATTACAAGTAAACAGGTAATGCCAGCTTGTATGTAGTCATATCATTGGAGAACGTTACAAGTCAACAGGTAGTGCTAACTTGTATGTGTTTAGATCATTGGAGAACATTACAAGTCAACAGGTAGTGCTAACTTGTATGTGTTTAGATCATTGGAGAACATTACAAGTAAACAGGTAATGCCAGCTTGTATGTAGTTATATCATTGGAAAACATTACAAGTAAACAGGTAATGCCAGCTTGTATGTAGTTATATCATTGGAGAACATTACAAGTAAACTGCATGTTACTTTAGTCTCTCTAGTTCGACGCTTGTACATCGACTTTTCCTGCATGACATAATTGTATCACACCAAAAGCACTGCTAAAAACTAACGTGATTTTTAAAACTTCATTGTTGTTTTATACACACTTTCGAGACTACTGTGAATCATCATATAAGTTTAGTCGTATTTTTGTGAATACAAATAAAAAAACACGTAACCCATCGTAAAATAACTTTATCACAACAGACTGTGCTTGCTTGTTACCCTTTTCATAAAGTTTAATTATTCAACGTATCTTACAACAAAATATTTGCTGTTTTCTTTTACTGTTACAAGAAAACCTCATACATCAGCAGTTCGCACAATAGACTCGTTTTTCTACATTGTTACTAAAACCTATCACACCAGATAGACTTCTGAACAGAGTCATGACTTATTATAAGTTATAGCTTTTACAGTGAAGAAGAAATTTTGTTAAGAACAGGTGCGTCGTTTCAGTCACTGGCGCGATCATTCTCAAGTACACAGGTGATCGAAACGTCGTATTCTTCCTTACTGTAAAAACTGTAACTTTTAATGAAATA